CAGAAGAACAAAATTCTACAAGCAGTTAAAAAAAAGAAACAAATCACATACAAAGGAAAGCCCATCAGAATCACAGCAGACTTCTCAACACAAACTCATTTTTTTTATATATATCTTAAACTTTAATAAAATATTTAAGGAATACGTCTTAGCAGAAGGAGAAGTAAAAAAATTAAGATGTGTTATGTACATGTACCAACTCCCCACAATGAATGTAATCATTTTGTACTGCAAACATGTACCAATAAAAATTTTAAAAAGAAATAAAAGTCTTGTCTGGAGCAATATTTAAATTGAGGCAAAGATAGGAAGAAGCCAATAGTCTCCAGAGCCCCAGTTGACATTTCACAAGGAGGAGGCAATATATACTCAGCAAGGGAAGGGTCTTCATACCTAAAATCCCTGCGGTCAATGTGGCAGGGCATAGTGAGCCATGTGAGAGCAGCATGCTCAGAAGGTAGCAGGTGAGCAGAGGCCAGGGGGCAGCAGTACTGCAGGCTGCCAGGTCCGAACTTGAACTCGGTTTGGCTCCACTGTATACACATTTTCCTCATGCATTGCTAACACTGGGGACTCACACAGGAAGGTCCCTGCATTCCGTAATGTGGCTCCAGAAGGCTCAAAGATTGCTACATGTGTTCCATTCCAGACTGCAACAGCATCCTTGGTGGCGAACACTCCGCTGATGTGCATGTCTGTGAGCAGGCTGTACACTCCCCCCATAGACAGGAAGGATACATTGAGTAAGGTTGGGGAGACCTGCACTGAGGCCACCTGCTGGTGGAAATGCAATGACATGGCCTGCTCTCTGAGGATCACTATGGAGCTGATGTTATTCACTGCTAGAGGGTTCTTCCTGGAGCCCCACTTTATTTGTGTGATGTTTCCTTCGAGCTCAGTGGGGGTCTGAGGGGCCCATTTGTCCTTGCCCTCCACCTCTCGGCTGCTTGGGGAGCCTGCCACTCTTTTCCACATGGCTATTCGCCCTTTATCAGTACCAGCTGCTGGAAGACCTTTGGCTTTACAGTAGCAAATGCAGTTTATATTCTCTTCTTTTTCAAAGCCAAACTTCTCTTCTAGATTCAGTACATAATTCTCTCCCCATTCCAAGTCCCAGAATCTGAGGATGGCTTCCCCTATGGCCATCACAAGAAGGCTGCCTTCAATCAAAGTGATGTCTGC